CACTGTCCACCGAGCCTTCTGCATTGACCTGTGGGGAGATAGGCTGTGAGGTCCGGAGCAACAGCACTGGCTGGGGGCCCTGAGGCAGGGCTGATCTCCCCCAGAGACCAGCTGTGGCTCCCTGAGCCCAGCTATGGGAAATGGCAGCCTCTCCCTGAACAAGTGGGGAAACTGAGGCTCAGGGAGCTGGGCTGGCCTGAGGTCACACATGGAGTCGGGCTGAGCACCTTGCGGACGATCCCGCGCTTCTCGTAGAAAGCAATGACAGGCTCGGTGGCCTTGTAATAGGTGTCCAGCCGCTTCTTGATGGTCTCCTCATTGTCGTCTACACGCCCGCTGGTCTCCCCGCGCTTCAGGAGTCTCTGTGTCATGGTCTCAGGGCCTGCGTCCACATACAGCAGCAGCGTGGGCTGTCCAATCTGCGGGGGACACCAAGTCACAGGGACCCTGTTCCCTCGGATCCATCTCCCCAAGTCTTTCCATCCCTGAGGACCCTGTGAGACCCACAGGACCTTCAGTCCCTTCCCCATGCAGCCAGAGGGAGCTTTCTAAAGCTCACCTTCCCTGCACCTCCTCTGCTCAAACCTCCTTCAAGGCTCCCCAGTGCCCTCCAAAGAAAGCCTGTGGTCCTTGTCCGCATGGTCATGCCCTGGTCTGTCAGCTTGCTCTGCTCTCTTGCCCGTCTCCTTCCCACAGGAGACCTGCACTGCCCTCTGCTAGGAGCCCCCCCCAGAGCTGACCCCGCCCCACCAAGCCTCAGTACCAGGCCCTCACCTTCGGGAGTCCACCACGGTCCCCTTCCCATTCTGTCCAGGATGTCTTCTCCCGGACGCCACCCCACTGACCCCAGGCCCTGGGACTTGCTTTTCCAGCCCCTTTTATCTCTCCCGCCTTGCAAAGACCTTTGCAGTTATTTATTTAGTGTTCCTGGCCCCAGCCAGGCCAGGATCCAGGCTGCACCCGATAAGGACTTGACAAAGCACAGGGGCTGAGTCCTGGGGCTACTGAGCAACATCACTGTCACCACGGGATGACTTGGAAAGGTGAGAGCTAAGCCAGAGGTGGCAGTCCCTCCCTCTCCTGAGGCAGCCATCTTGCCTCTGGGTCCCACGGGTTCC